ATATATATATATATATATATATATATATATATATATATATATATATATTACTTTCTCAGCCCGTTTTGAAATGAGTGTTTTCCTTCTACTAGACTGATTTCCAACCAGTGCTAGGGATCCCAGGCCGAGTGTGAGAGAAGAGATACATTACTAATTTTGCCAATGGTATTCAGTCAATAGTGAACATTGAAATCGGCACTCAAGTTCCATTTTTCCGCGCCGATAACCAATGCACCCCCACCCCCGCTGCACGCACGCGTACGCGCACGCGCAGAGACACTCATATATTTGGGCAACAAATATTACTTTTATATATATTTCTTTGAATGTGACAGACAAGGAGAGACTTTAATATGTTTTCCTTGAGTGTCACATCAAGTGAAACTGTAAATGTAGGTATACAGAAATGAAAAAAAAGTGCACACAAATCTATTGTATTGACTATATAAATATATCAATAATAATCATGTGAATCTGTTAAATTCTAGTATTAAACGAATCCTAGAAAATAAAAAATAGTACTTGTATTAATTGGTGTATACGTACTTTTTCAGTCCACTTTATATAGATTGAAGATCGGATATGACGTGAAAATGATAGTAAACATTCAGTATTAATTGTGTACGTCATCTCTCTCCCTCTCTCTCTCTCACACTCTCTCTCTCCTCTCACACATATTCTATCTCTCTATCTTTTTTTCTCTCTCTCTCTCTATACATATATATATATATACATACATACATACATACATATATATATATATATATATATATATCCAAATCTGTCCATTATCTATCTATCTATCTATCTATCTATCTGAATCTGTTCACTATCTATCTATTTTCCGCATCACATTTGTCTTGATAACGTCTCTCAGAGGACGAAAGACGTGGGCTAAGATAATTTTTCCTTTTCTCTTTATTCATATTGTCCTTTGACAGATCTATCTATCTATCTATCTATCTATCTATCTATCTATCTATCTATCTATCTATCTATCTATGTGTGAGCGTATACACACATATATATGTTTATACACACACACAAACTCATGCACACACATATATTCATCAGGTGTGTGTAAAAGTTTTAAGTGCTTTTATAAATATAAACAGGATACAAAATTAGAAACTTACTAAAAACGCCGTAATTTTTTCACAAAACTACTACTACTAATAATAATATTAATGATAAATATTATCAATATATATATATATTTTGATAATATTTATCATTAATATTATTATTATTATTATTAGTAGTAGTAGTAGTATATATATATATATATATATATATATATATATATATATATATATATATATTTTAAGACATTTTATGTTTATACATTCTTTTTATAGATACAAATATTTAAGTAAATGCTCTTTTTATAATAAACAGTATTAAACAACATTTACTGGCCTGAATGTCCGAGAAATTTTCAGGCCGGTAAATGTTGTTTAATACTGTTTATTATAAACAGAACATTTATAAATATTTGTATCTCTAAAATGAATGTATAAACATAAAAATGTCTTAAAATAATTGTCGGACTTTGTCCATTTCATAATATATATATATATATATATATATATATTGATAATATTTATCATTTATATTATTATTATTAGTAGTAGTAGTAGTTGTGTGAAAAATTTACAGCGTTTTTGAAACATAAACCTTTACATCGCATCCTTTCAAGGAACTCTTCTGTTATATATATATATATATATATATATATATATATATATATATATATATATATATATATATATATATCGTTGACACACTCATACATATACTAACAAGGAAACCTAAACCTATATATTTGTAAACTGTTCCTCATTGTAATGGTGAAGGAACACATGCTCACGAGCCATGACTTCCCGGGGAACCCCGACCTCTGGCTTTTTTAGTCATTAATTAAAGTCAAGCCTTGTGTGGCACGAAGCCACAATCGCAGAGACACCCGGTGAGGATCGAAATTGGTGCTCGAATGGTGTAACGTATACGAAAAGAGGAAATAAAGTCAAAGGATCGAGTTCGAAGTTCGGCTCAGTCTGGTAATATGAACCGTCGGTGAATAGCCTTTGGAAAGGCACGAACTCACTTCTCCCTGCGATCTATCTCATCGTGACAACCTATCTCATTAATGCCATAGTACAATGACCGACAGTGAAGAGATTGGTTCAGAGAGCATATGAGGAAACCACTCTCCCATAAGTATTTCAGTTCGGTCGACAACCATCAAAAAGTCTCTATGTATGTGAGCGTATTTCTCATGTGTTTTATTCTTTTCAATACAATGCTCGAGAGTAACTCAAGGTAGTTACTGAATGAGGTGCATGATATGAATGTAAGAGGGTATTGTTGGAAGTGAAAATTATGAGGATAAGGAGGGCAGATAGCGATTGATTCTTAAATTGAAGAGGTTAAGGAGCAGTGTCCAGGGAAGTATCCACGCCGGGGTCTGTTCCATAAAATAGCATTTTTTTGGGAAAAAAAACTATCTGAGGGGATTTCTTCCTTATATTTGGAATATAGAGAAAATGTGGGTGATTTGTATTTGAAGAGGTAGCATGGCTTGTCCTAGCTACAAAGGTCTGAATTGGCGACACTAAAGAATGGAGTCCATCTAAACATTTACTATAGAAATAGCGATAAATATACAACATTCAGGGTTTTGCAGGAATATTTGCATAAGTAACAGTCTTAATTAAGTGCCTTGACATATCAGGTTTCTTTATTGCTTTTTTTTAATTTTAGATATCTAAGCGTGGGGATCAGTGACGTGCAGATGTTTCGTGATGTTTGGTGATGCCTGGGGTCAACTTTTTGATTGGATCCCCCTAAGGCCCAAATAGTGACGTCCTCTAGGGGCTAGGACAGAGAAATGCGAGAAAGAAAGACATTTGAAATCTGTAAAAACAGATGAAATATGAAATAAACATTTTATCAAATTAATTCTAAACTAGATTTTTATTTCACTCTTTGATAGGATACCCTGCCGATTTGGGTGCCCGGGGCCTTCGCGCCGTCTGCCCCCCCCCACTTCTACACGCTAGTGGCGATGGTTCCAAAAGTTATATTTTCTTAAAAACACGCATGTGCACGTAACCCCACTCGCTCTCTCTCTCTCTCTCTCTCTCTCTCTCTCTCTCTCTCTCACACACACACACATACAGACAAATACTTCCATCCCCAAAATTCCAATAATATAAAGTCAGGTTATGACATGTGTGGTTAATAAACAAAAGGATAGAAAAATAAAAACTTATTGGAATGTAATGAAGTAAAAATACAAAATTCATTGAATGGATTGTTTGGAGATTGAGGAATCGGAGAGCCGAGTTCGAATTCTAGTCGAATCCATTACATTCACTTACGTGCTATTACCCTTGGGAAAGGTATTAATCCTCTTCTTCTTCCCCCCTCCGGGTTCTACCGCAGAAAGAAATGGCAACCTACTGCGGGAAAAAATCTGCCTCATTAGTCATGTATCGAAAGATACATGACCGCCTATGCGTGTATCACACATAACTGACTTACCAGTGAAGTTACTTATTACTTATGAAAAACGCATAAAATGACAACACACACACACACATACACACACACACATATATATATATACATATATAAAAATAATAAAAAAGAACAATAAGGTTTATAATCCGGTGTTCTTAGAAATTATTTTTATTTTAAAAAAACACTACTCGATACAAACAGTAGAGCAAAATATTATAATTATTTTCTTTTTTTATAAATATGTTTCCATCGCGACATAGAAATTTGTATGTTTCAAAACTGAAACCAATATTGTAAATTTAATTATAAAAATTAAACTTAAAATCCAGAGTTTCGTTCCATTGTCAAGCGATGTTAGAAATAACTTTGTAAGAAATTTACTTAAGCGCAGACAATCTTATTATTTTGAGTTGTTAAGATTCAGGAAAATTCAATCTATTTTGATTAGGGGTGGTTGGGTTTTAATTTCTCTAGACAACTTATGTATCAAATATATGTTACTTACAAAGTCAAGTTAAGTTTAGGTGAGGTGGGGATACCAGCTCACAAACATATACATCCGTTATTCAGCGTGTCGTCTGGGTTTTCAATGACAAAAAATGGCATTGTTATTAATCCGCTTAATTCATATTTTTCTACACAAAGATTTTCTAAAAGGGTCATTTAAATATGAGTAAGTCATATTTTTAATATTTAAATTTTATTCCTACAGATTTATAGTACCATTCCTCCTTCTAATAATTAATAGACTATACAGTATTTTTACTGTATGTATCAGAATATATCAGAATTTAATATCTAATTAATGATCAAGTATAAATATGTATGTTTCATCTCTCTTCTTTTTTATTTTTTCAACATTACTTATTACTTAAGGAAAATATTTGACAGTGCCTACAAAAAGTAGCTATTTCATTTCTTTGATTTAGTAAATTTATATGACTATGTAAAGAAATAATGTAGCATTAATAATACATTATGCGTTCTTTCACAGAAACAGAAAATAAGGTCTAGTTGCAGTATAAGCCAATTAAACAAACACAAATGTACCTCAGAAGGCGTCTGCAACAGGGATATGTAACCAATATATTCCATTAATACTGTTTATTATAAAACAGAGCATTTACTTAAATATTTGTATCTATAAAAACAATGTATAAACATAAAAATGTCTTAATATATATATATATATATATATATATATATATATAGAGAGAGAGAGAGAGAGAGAAAGGAGAGAGAGAGAGAGAGGATCTCGTTATTTTTTGCAATAGATAGAATTCTCGTGGATGGCTAAATCCGCGTATAATAGCGAATCATATATACTAGGTATATCCAGATATGTTTTACGATGTCCCATAATCCCATTTGATGAGAGGTGGGGCGGCGGTTCCATCTCTCACCACCATGATATATATTTGACGTACCCGGCAAACCAACTGAAAAAATTAAAAAAAAAATGTTTAGTATTCAAGTTGAAGCAATGGTTTCCGTACGATTACCGAAGTTAAGCAACGTCGAGCCTGGTCAGTACCTGCTTGGGTGACCACTTGGCAATACCAAGTTTTGTAAGCATGGATATTCGGGTGATGTAATGGAATTGGAGATCGGAGAGCCGAGTTCCAATTCCACTCGCGTTCGTTATATTCACTTACAAGCGAATACCTATGGAAAAGATTGAATCCACCTTTTCTCTCCCCAGCTATGGGTTAAATAGTAGGACTTATCAGTAAATCATTATTATCTTTATTATTTCTTACAAAAAAAACCAGCATCTGTCTGAATTTCTGGAATGAGAAAACAATAACTCATCCCAGAAATACAGACAGACGCTGAAAGACAATGAAATATTATTGCTTGAATAAATGTTGGTTGATTTTGTTTAGTGGCATATCAGCACCTCTATGGGTCATGTAATGCCGAAATCTAAACGCCATATATACTCGCGTATCATGCGAATTTTAAAGACCTAATTTTGAAGCTAATTTTAAGGGGGCCGCATCATACACCAGATTTAAAATTACTGTATTTATTGCTGGCCCCTGGGTACGCTGTTGACCAAACTATATATCCATTTACTGTAGGTTTTCAAGAGTCGCATGATACGCTAGTATATACGGTAATTAAAAGAAATCCTTATAAATAATCAAAGGGAAGGATGATAGAAAAGTGGGGGATCAGTTTTGTATTGTTCTTTAGTATTAAATTCATCCCCCACTTCTTGGCCACTGTATATGCTATATATTTGTATAATCTAGACAGGATTTAAAGAACTTACCCAAAATATTCTCATAGGTTGGTTTGTTATATATATAGCGTATATACTCACGTATCATGCGACTAATTTTGAAGCTAATTTTAAGGGGGTCGCATCATACACGAGATATGAAATTAGCGTATGTACTACTGACCCATACGCTTAATTTATGTCCCGTCTAAGATGTGATCACCTTAAAATTAGCTTCGAAATTAGGCCTTCAAAATTCGCATGATACGCGAGTATATTGTATTTTGTACCCAATTGTATAGCTTCATCTAAATATATTTCGTATGCAATTTTATGCTTTCAAGGCAAACGTATGATTTTTTTTTATTTACACTATTTACATTGTTCCTCATCTATACTCTCGCATTCTTCAGGGACACATGGCCCAGTTAATAAAAGCGTTGGCTGATTGATCCAAAAATTGACTTGATCCAAATAATTGTGAGTTCAGTCCCTGGCCTCAACGGAGATAACACTTGAAGAGTTATCAAGGCGAATCAACTCAAACTGAGAAATCCAATAATAAAGAACAATCTACTTCCGTAGACTAAATAAAGGGTTTAGTTCGAAAATTGCAAATATCAACTGAAGAAAGCCGGAGCGTATAACAATCGAAACCTCCTGAATGTGAGAGTAAAGATGAGGACAATAATCCGAACAACGTAATTAGTTTAAACAGCTTACAATACCTCATCATAGAAATATAGATGTATGTTTTTTTTTAGATATATAGTTTGTATATGATCTGGTGTAGGTGTTATATGTTTTGTATAAACCTATTTTTTAAGGTAAGACATTATGTTGACGATTTTAGTATTTTGAAATAGTTGGTTTCCTTGTCGTATTTATGTCTTACATGGGTTAAGTGACTAGATTCAGTTAAAATGTGCTTCACAGTGAGTGCGACTTGGCATGTTGTGTGTGTTGATTGGTCTTGATTCTTCAGCAAGTATATTTCAATGCATTTCAATACTAAAATCATTAGCAATGCATTTTTATACTAAAATAATTTAGAATGCATGTTAATACTGAAATGATTTACAATGTATTTTATACTAAAATATTTGCAATGTGGCTCTTTATAAAATGACGAGAATGAATGTAAGACTTTTACGTCCTCTTTCATGAATCATTGAAGTGAATCTTTATCGTAAAATCAGTCGCAATAAATTTTTGTAGTAAAAGGTTTTGCAATAGTTGTTTATAGGGAAAGCATTTACAACGCTTTTTTTATACTCAAATCATTTGAATGGATTTTTATACTGAAATCATTAGCAATATAGTGTGCACATGATCTGTTGTAGGAGTTATCTCTCTCTCTCTCTCTCTCTCTCTCTCTCTCTATATATATATATATATATATATATATATATATATATATATATATAATTAATTCTCAAAATGTGTGTGTGTATGTAGGTATGTGTGTGCGTGTGTATGTGTGTGATCGGATGTTGTTTATGCATTTCCACAGTTTTCATCCGATTTCGATGAATTTTTTTGTCTGATAGATAATTCTTCAGTGTCGGTTTTGAGTCCAAATTGTTGGCGACAATGACTCTCCACTACTTCCTGTCCATTGTAACTCTCAGCAACGTTTTACTATTTACTATCTGTTCTTGGGTATATATATTTCATAAAAAACTTTAAATTATTACAATAATATTATTTATTATTATACAGTTCCCTTTTCAGGGACCCCCCCCCATTTAAATTGTTAGCCCCTCACCCAATTTGGGGATGTGCCTCAGTTGCATCCAATTATTGTTACTAATATTGATTTTCGGGGTGAACTGATTTTAAACTTAAACTGCTCCAATTGAACAGCAAAAATTCCCAGCAATGAAAGACCCGGTCGAAGACGGGTTATACTGCTAGTTTTGATATAAACTTATTTCTTTATGGTAGGACATTATATTGTTACCCTTGTAGTATTTGTGTCTTACAGGGGCTAAGGGAGGCCATTCAGTTAAATTGGGTTTCACCGTGAGTGCGCTTGAAATCTTGTACATGTTGGTTGATCTTCATTCCTCAGCAAGTATGAATGGGTCCGAAATATAGAAAAACAAACAAAAAATCCTTAACTGAGAACTTTAGTTGATCATTACCCAAACTTATATATGCACGCGAGCCTGTGTGTGTGAATGTGCGCACGTGCGTGTGTGTGCGTGCATGTGTGCGTGTGCATGTGCGTGTGTGAGAGAAGTTTTGTCTATAACAGAGGGTTACAGATTAAGAGACACAGTTTATGTAGATACATGGGGAAGATAACCTTAGGCTGGAACAGGTTAACCTTAGACTAGAACAGGTTAACCTTAGACTGGAACAGGTTAACCTTAGACTGGAACAGGTTAACCTTAGACTAGAACAGGTTAACCTTAGATTGAGGCAAAGAGTTTCGTCTTATCTGTCGAAGAAGATATGACATCGGGACCATTTATAATAGTGGGCACATCCGCTTTACTTCTACTCATAATTTGGTTGGTGATCTTCCAAAACTCTCGGTATTCAATTTATTGTTTTTCAACATTAACTGGGCCGCTTGTGCATAGTTACACTTTGCATTTTCCAGAGCTTTTTTTTTTTTTTGCAGCGTCAAACTACACCATTCCTAACGATAGTTATTGCAGTAGTGGTTCTGGTAAATTATGGTTGCCGCGCATTTAAGGGCGAACCAGGGCTGGCTGGTTGGTTTTTGTTGGAATATTTTTGCGGCTATAAAACTCACCATTCCAGAAAGAATCCGGTCTGAAACGAGGGCAAAGTTTTGGAGGCAGCATGCTTGAAGAAGGTTGAGATAGGAGCTTCCGCTGTGCCTGTCTGTCTTTGTGTAGCAAAACATCGTTCTATGAAACGGCAAGTCAAAGGATGCTCTATGTTTGGCATCAATTCGGACACTAACCAGGGAATGCTCCAACATGCCTGGAATTGGTGGGGGGGAGATAAAATATTTGCTACACATTTTTCAAGGTAGGATATGGAGAAGGGTTTGAGGAGGTATGGCGAGCTTCTGCAGTAATATTGAGACATTAATACCTGTTTCATGATGTCGGATTTGAAATCAAGAAGTGGTTCTACCTCTGGATAGTTGGAATGTTGACACCTCACATTAATGTATGAGATGGTATACCTGACGTGTACATTTTTTTTAAGTTGGTTTGTTAATTTTGTCCACTTTAAACGATTTCATGCGGGAATCGCGTTATATTTGGTTGAAGACTAGTACATAGGAGACACAGACATTCACAGGAGATTAATGCATAATTTTGTTTTAATAATTTCATTCCAAGCAAGGCGAAAATACCACTAGTGCGCAGAGGGTTATAGGGAGTGAAATTGAGAGAAAAGACTGAGTATCGGGAGGATTGAGGGAAGGACAAAAGGCGAACGCTATTCAAGAAGACAGAAGACGGCGACTGGCGTTGCGTTTACATTTTTTCAAGATTGTAGTTATCTGGGAAGCAAGTAAACGGAAAAGCGATATTTAAACAATAAACGGGTGGGACCTAGATACCAATCTAGTAGCACGCTTAAATTCATGTAGTGGTGGCACCACAGAATAAAAGTTCGTTAGAGCAGTTGCCATGAAAATATTTGTAGAAAAGACAGAGAGATGCCACATCACGTCGGGGAGATAGGAAATAAAGTTCAGATGCCATATCAGGATCGATTAAATTGCAGATAATTCTTTGGATTTTGTCAAGAACCTCGACATAAAAAGCGGGATCACCAGACAAGATATGCCAACAGTATGCAATGCAAAGACAAATAATAGATTTGTAAATGTGCAACATAGATTGTGAAGAGAAAAAAATTCTGGCAAGAGACAATGACCAAAATTTCTTTGTAGTAAATACAGCTATTGATTCGATGTAGAGGCTCCTCTTCAGGTAAGTTGAAAACGTGAGGCCAAGAAATCGCAGTGTGTTGCGCTCCAGGAGATCAAGTTACTTGTGTAGAACTAAAAGAGGATGCTTCCCTGCTCAATACAATCTTAACCTGTTCAAATCTAGAGTCAGCCGTTATCTTCCCCACATATCCGCATAAACTGTAACTTTCAATCTGTAACCGTCTACCTGCTTTATGGAACAAAAAGAGAATGCTTCCCTGATCATTACCATCTTAACCTGTTCATGCCTAGTGTCAGCCGTTATCTTCCCCACATATCCGCATAAACTGTGTAAACCTCTACCTACTTTGCGGGACTAAAAGAGGATACTTCCCTGATCATTACAATCTTAACCTGTTCATGCCTAGAGTCAGCCGTTATTTTCCCCACATATCCGCATAAAGTGTACCTCTTACT